GCACATCAGCTCAGGGGCAAATTGTGCTCTCACCAATTGTTTTGCCATTGGTTTTAGTGAGAAGAAGGTGTAACCCTCAGTGCTTTCCTTACTGTAAGGTCTATTGGCTCCAGCATTTCACTGCTGCAATGCAAATGAGCACAAGTATCTCAGCTTCAGGAAGCCAAACCTTTTCTTCCTTCAGTTGGGTCAAACCCCGCTTGTCCTGCTCGTTGAAGCCACCTGGAGTTTTATCTGACTGAAACGAGCAGGATGTGGCCCTCAGTCTTCTCTCTGGTGCAACTCCATTGGAACCTAATATAAAGTGAAGGACTATTTTTGGCTTTTTTTGACATCAAAGTGAATTCTTCTGGAATAAAGTCCGAGAGCCATACTGTCCTTGCACTTATGCCTAAGTGGCCTAAAGGATATATCCTGCTCACTTTAATCTGGCAACACTGTCTCTGGCTTCAGTGAACCAGGCCAGTGTAATCTTACTTGAAGGAAGGATAGGTATGGCCGGGTTTTTTCAACAGTTAGGTATAAAAAGTGCACTAGTGGAAAGCACTGGAGGTGTACGAGCTTAGTTAAAAGGGAAATGACACCTTCTGGGAAGTACGAAAGTTCTCACTGGGACTATAAGTGCTTAGGATTTGTCTTGTAGAAGCAGACCAAAAGTCTGTGTGGTCTCTAGTCTGGTTCCTACCAGTAGCTCGTCGCAGATACCGCACAAGAAGGCAAAAGCGGGTGACCGAGGGGTAACACGCTCGCTGTCTTCTGCACAGCAGAGCTCTTTCTGACCACTTTTGCCCAAAGTCCTGAGGCATGCACTAGATACATTTTCCCAAATCACTTCCGATTAATTTTAGTGGCTCTTGTTTTCTGTATAAATGTCCAGTCCCGCTCTGAAACTTGCTATTGATATTTTAATTTCAAAATAGCTGTGATGGGGGAATAAAAAAACTTTGCCTTTTTAAACAGTTTTGCCATTTTACCTTTATTTGTTTAAATATAAGTTTCTCTGCCGTGAAATAACCTTCTTTCCACATGTATACCCATATGCACGATGCTAACTCATTCCGGAAACAACATTTTAAAACACTATGTCATGCTTATAGGATAATTATTAATCTTGTCAGAATAAAAAGCATACTAAAAGTACTCCATACAAAGGTTTGTGCCTTAACATTTTTGAAAGTTTTTTTTTTAAGGTAATCAGATGTGTCATAACAGAGGAAGAAACCATATAATATATAGCACATAGTAAAAGTGTATGACTCCTACAGGGCTATTTAGAAATATACAAAGATTAATTTTTCTCCTTTTGGTTAGTAGAATACTTGATGAGAAGGTATGTTTTTATTTTTATTCCTGCTTGTGTCTTGCAGCTCTATGAAGATGATGTGAAACTACAAATTCAAAATTTTAATAGCTATAAATGATATAAAAATAAGGAAGAGAAATGTTCACGTTACGTATCTGGAGGGATAAATACACAATAATCATGCAATTTGATAGCAGAAAGAATTACTGTTTGACAATAAAACCAATACTAAATACAAACAGAATAATATTGTTCTATTGAGAAATATAGCAAATAAAATGATACAACAAAAAAATGCTTTTGAATTCTCTCTCTCTGTCTCTCTCTCTCCATGTTTAGGTCTTTTTCAGCTGAATGTTCACTTTTAATGTTTCGAGACCACAGATACTGTTAAGGAACAAAACTTTTCCATCTTAGTTTTCATTTCCCATATCTACAAACTCCAAAAAGTAACCTATCTTAACTTCAGGAAGGTGATTTTACTGTTTTTTTGCTTGGGATTTACTTGAGAACCAATCTTGTATATTCTTGCTCGTAGGCTAAACTTGCTGAGATACGTGAGCAGTGTTTGTACGTTCAGCTGCGTATTTTGTGCAGAAGGATAGCATTGTCAAACTGGCAGTTCACGAATCTCTATATATGCACAGGAAGGGGATATATACTGCAGGGAAAGGACCTATTTTTCAAAGGCATTGAGCATTAACAGTTGCCTTTGACTTCAGTGAGAACTGTGAAAACTCAATATTTTCAAAAAAGTAGCCACTTTTCTTTAGAAAGTCAGATGGGATATAGAAACCTGAGTTACAGTGTCTGTAACAGAAAAAACTGATAAAATGCTATCACTGGAAATTTCTGTTTTTATCTTTATATAGCTTTAGCATCAGTGCTACGGATATAAACCACAAACCTACCTTTTCCCATGTGATAGCCGTTTGTTTTGCCTTTTCCTTCGGAGAGTTAGGAGAAATGATTAAACTGCAACCACCCCAAAAAAGACATCAATATTAGAAATTATTGTTCATTACTCAATTACGAAAATAAGAAGAGTGGAATCTGCATAGGGTGAATTATGATTTCAAATGCTAATATTTTGACTTTCCCACATCAGGATCTTAGTGCTAAACATTTCCACATATTATTTCCTAAAATTAGGAAATAATAAGACACAAATTTTAAAGGCCTGTTAGAGGGAAAGTTTTCTAGATTGTGATACACTGAAAGCTAAAAAAAATAGTCTAAAGTTTCTGAGCAACAGCCAATAGCTAACAGCAAGGAAGAGAATATGTCATATACTCCTCTACGGTGATGAATCATGTAGCGTGTAACTAACTTTATGGAATCTCATTTGGTACACTAGAATCAGGAGAACCTAAACAAACGACTAATTATCGGTCAGAGCCCCGTCAGGACAGCATGATCAATTTTTTGATCAATTTTGGCTGGGTGTTGTTGAGCAGAAAATGGGAAACGGGCCCAATCCAAAGCCTTGTCTGCAAACACCCGGCACTCTTATCCTGGATTATAATTTCTTTGTCTACAAATTGTGGGTTAAACAATGAGGCCGATCCTCCTTCCATTAAATCAGGGCAAACACTGAGTGACTTCCCCGGCGGACGCTCGTGCCCCTGGGTGCGAGCAGTGCCCTTCTTTGTTGTGCTCCCGGGAAAAGCTCTTTGCTGGCCGAACCTGGCAAGGGTAGGGCTCCTTTCCGAATCGTAGCCTGAACTTTGCTGTTTGATCTCATCTCTGACCAGCTTTCTAGTGTTTTTTAAAAAAACTTGTGCTTCACCAAGAAGTGATTGGGCTGTGCTCTGCACCAGCTGGTCTTGATAGGTTTGAAACACCTAAAAAACCTCAATACTCACATTTTATAGATACAATCAGAAAACCAAGCTAGAGTATTAATAGGTGAGACGCTTTTTAAAGGGGCGCTACCACTTTTAGGTTCAATCAGTTAAAATATATGAGCTACGTGCAGTTTGGGGGAGTTGCAGCAAGCCACAAGTGCTCTTCACAATTTAAGGCTTCTACATTTTAATTATTTCTTTTTCTGCCACTGTGGCTCTGTAAAAGATCCCTAGAGACAACGGGGGACTGTGACACTGAAGAACAGGTTATACTGACTACACAGAAAGTGCTATCAAAAGCACGAAATAAAATACACAGAATAAAATCCCCCCAAAAAGTATCTCTAATTTATAGTGTTTGTAGTAGTCACGTTACATCAGCAGTGGGCAAAAAGAAAAAAAAGGAGACAGAAATGTGTTCTCTAAACTGACAGAGCCTCTTTAAATTTGCTTGAAGAACCATCTCGGAAAAAAAAAACCATACTACAGTGTTCTGGATTTTATTTGTTTAAATGCAAATTTATGGAGCTGGCCACACACCAAAAATTGGAGAGTTTGGTACTGCAGTTGCTTTGGTGTTTTTTCAGCATTGTAATGGGCTACACAGAGACAAAGGAGAATATGAATATATGGCAGTTGATATTTAGATTTGGGTGACATTTTTGCTTGTTGTAACTGTCATTTTTAAAAATCCATTTTCGTTCTATCATGTTATTGAATCGCAGCAGACGTTGCTATTGAAAAGCTGGAATTATTTAATAATCAAAATTAGCAGTGATTTTTGCACTATATTTCTCATTACCCAACCACTTAAACGTTCGTGAGTCCTAAGGTCCAGGCAAAACTTGCCCAGAGGGTAGAGTGAGATGGTAGATGGACCTCTTTCTCACTCCCCAAAGTGGTTTCTTTTTAAAGCAGTAAAAAGCATACCATTTGATAGGCCATCGAAAAGCTAGCTAAAGAATGATATTACAGTCACACCTTTCACAGTATTTTCTCAGGAGTCTGTCCCTGGTTTTAGTGCAAAGGAGCTGCTTTGGGGAATTGAGTTTACTGTTCCCGTGTTTGCCTGCTAAGGAAGAGGTACGCCCTTTGTCCCTCACCTGCAGATGGTTTGGGTGATTTTACTTTTCTAAGGCAAGCGCTCCCAGTGAGCTGCATTCAGAAAGTGCTTTTCATAGCATTAGTACAGAACCAAGTTACAAAAGAATATTAATCTAATACATTCCAAAATTCAAATATGTGTGATTAATAAGCATTATTATCTATAAATAAGGCTCTAATGATACTTTGGCAGTGTTGTAAACACAAGAATCAGAAGCAATTATTGTCGTTATTGTTCTGCAAGTACTTTCCATGAATACCAAATGGATATTACTGTCCAGCTCCTTGGCACATAGAAACCCTGTAAAGAAACAGTTGTCAGTCACTAAGGTCTGGCGGGCTGCTGTTAACTACACTCGCCTAAAATGCAGTGTACCTAAGGACAAAGCATGTAAGTTACTGAAAGCAAGACAACTATTCATTTAGAAATTCTTTGTCTTTTTCAACCCACCAAAACATGTTAAAAAAAGCCTATGAGAAAGTTTTCACATCCTGTGAGATGAACCGTTTGTGTGATGGCTGTGATTAAAAATGGAAATAGATTCTCTGCCAAAAAAACTACCCTTCTTTGTGTGAAACCCACAAAGGTGAGAAAATTCCAGATGAAAGGTAGTGTGAAAATAATTACAAAGAAACAACCCCCCCCCCCCCCAGCTATTAGAGGTAGCCCACAGATTGTTTTCAAGGAAGCAGGATGAAAGGGGCACTCATAGCTGTCATGTTTACCTCTCTTGGGTTTTCTACAGGTCCCGTAGACCAGAGCCACGGCTGATCGCCCAGCCCCACTCGCTGTGACACCCCCACTTGCGTTCCTCTGGCAGCCTCACCTCCCTCACGAAACCTCGCCGCTTAAGACAGAGCCAGCCAACAGCAGCATTTTGTGGTGGGTGTCATGTTGTTCTTCAGATGCCAGGGTGTCATCGTGAGCGGGAACAGTGTGGGTCTGGCTCTCAGAATCTGTAGAAAGAAAAAGAAAAAAACCCAAACAGTAAGCTTTACTTTCCAAATGTGTTCAATTCTTCTTTCCTCTCCTTGATATTTGGGGCGTGCAGCACCCTATACCATGTGGTTTAACATTTTGTTCTCTATTTGTAGGTCAACATTTCCATGATTAAACTTCATCCTTTATTCAGCCTGTTCTGGCTAGGCTTTGCAGCACATGTGATATAAGCTGTTTTCACAGCTAGTAGGCCAAATCTTACTCTGGATAAGTGAGCCAAACATATGTGACTGAGTCAGACACTTAAATCAGCTCACTGGTAAATGGGAGATAACTCCAGGTGCAGTGTTGAACACTGAGAATCAAAAAAGTGGGAAGGGTGGCCAACGTTCCTCCATGTGGGAAAGGAGACATCCTATGCACACAGACAGCGAAATCATAGCCCTTCCCAAATTTCTCTCTCCCACATTTGCCTGAGGATACCGAGCCTTCTTCACTGAAGTTACCTGGAATCTTTCCATTGATTTTGGTGGTCCTGGATCAGTCCAGTTTTAGGTGGGCTTAGGCGCAACCCAATGTAGTACTGCCTTGCACAGGAAGGGTGAGGGAGGAGGAAGCAAAACCATCTAAAGAGAAAGGGATGCTCCAAGACCCCACCTGTCTCCGTTGCCTTCCAGGCATGGGAAATCTTCACTCTTTGTGTGCTTGCAGCTCGCACAAGGAGGTTGTTAAGGGGACACGGAGCACCCCGCGTACAGCACTACGCTTCTTTCAGTCACCCTCTCCTCATTGCCTCCACATACCAAGCTCACTTGCTGACTGAGGCTGATGCACCTTCTCTCGCCTCATGATAGATCTCAACTGCTCTAATGTCGGGTAGCACTGGGTGGCCTTTCCTCATAAATCAGTGGAGCAATTCCTGGCAGTGCTTAGAGGCCTGAGTGAGCGCTACCTGATCCAGTCATCCTCAGCGCAGAGGATTTGGATTAAAGGACTCTCTCTCTGGCTGTATGGCTTGCAGCCCTCCTTCTCCTGTCTTTTCTGTTGCCTGTTAGCTCTGGTAAGTAAAGGGAAGCCTACATGGCTAGCTCAGCGCAAATAGCCAAATGAGCAGGTAGATGCCTTATACGTGATTCAGACCAGCTATATCCTTGATGTGTGACATTTTTACTTTCCCCAGGGCTGGACTGGTCCTGGCTGTTGGGCTGCCAGGAGACTTAAACCCTTTTCGGCACGTTTATCCTGCAGGTACCATGGCTGACTAGTTTGAATAGCAAGGGAGCGCTCTTGCAGTAAATCCAGGGAGGATACTTTTTCCTGAAACGGGCATGGCTGTGCCTATAATGCTGCCAGCTGCAGCCAGAGGAATGCACTTTGGCCTGTGCTTCAGTGATGACTTGCATCATCATGCAAAGGAGCTGGAAATGAACCATTTTCCTCAGGAACAAGCCCTTCTACAAACCACCTGACTCCCTCAGCTAAAGAAAACACTGGGAATGTAGACAGCAGGGCTTTCAATGACTTTTGCTTTTATCTTTTTTATGGCACCTATCCTTCAGTTTTTGTTCATTTGCTTTGATATTTGCGATAACTTTATGCACTTAGAAAAAATATCTTCTGCCCAAAACTAGTTCTACTTGTTAGCTCTTCAGCGGGTAAGCTTCAGTACTGCACGCTGTGGCTGTGCAAGCATTGTGCTCCCCTAATTCAGACAGTCCTGTTCTGACCCACACAGTGGCACGTCGGATCAAGTGGTCGTGTTACTCAGGGGCTCTGAGGAGCAGCCCTGCGGTGGAGCAGACCCCCAGGGCACATGCAGAGCCTGATCAACTTCCTGCTGCTCTGTTGAAGGGTTTCTTCCTGCCTTGGTTACTACAAGAAAGTTGCTGAGGTATTTGCAAAAGGTGGATGGCAACAGCTCTTGGCGTGTCCATGAACAGCAGGGCAGGCTACGGTTAGGGGACACTGTGACGAAGCTGGATGTGATCTGGTCTGATGTGCACAGGGACCCGAAATGGGGCAAGGCAGAGAGGGACTGGGCTGTGCGCTTTTGGAAAGGAACAGAAAGAATAACACATTTCTGATCCCATTGGTGTGGAAGTTAATCAAAGATGTACTGGGGTAAATCCATATCTGCTTCAAAGACACATCAAGGTCAAATTAGTGGAAAGATGAGGGAAATTCAGGCTGGCAAGATCAGCTGATAGGGTCAAGTGGCTTACTGCTCCTGGTTCTGTCTTTTTGAAACATAAACTGCACTTTAGGCTCATCTTTTAAAAGCGTGAGCCAAAATGGGATGATTACTGAAAGCACAGAAAGGCAGGAAAGCTCTGTGATTAGAGCGTGAGAAGAACGTACGTGTTACTATGACGTAAAGTTGAGGAACAGCAAATTAAGATTTTTCTCTGTAGTTGTTCAGAAAAAGGAAACTACGTCACCATTTTCTTATGTTTAAGTAAGAGTTTCCTTTTTTCATAGTATAAAATATCTCCAGATCACACAGGCATGATTTAAGACTATAGCACCAGATGTAATTTCAAGTTAATGAAGAGATGGTATATTTTGTATTATCTTTTCTCTTGTTTCTGATTGTCTTTTTTGGGATTGATATTACTGTAAGTAAATACATTTATCTTTTGTTTCATTTTCCCCTTGTGACCTATTTCATTTAATTAGAAGGAAATGTGTAATAGGAATGAGTAGCATCACACGGGGCTTCATCCAAAGCCTGTGAAATCATCAGTAGTATTTCCTATGGTTTTCATGGACATCGGATCAGGTCCAGCAGAATGGAGGGGATATTTTTACCTTATCTGGAAGAGGAGGAAGAAGGTGTGTTGCCTGTGTAAAAATATTACTGCCATAGTTATAAGATCTGCCCCAGATATTAGGGAAGGATTTTGCTACTGTGTATGCCTCTCTGTGCTGCACGCTTCACATCTGTGGCAGCGTGTTAAGGATAAAGGTTCTTAAAACCTTAGCTCTGAATATACATATAAAAAGAAGAAACAAATTAAATAAAAGATAAAAGATATTGATGGAAGTATATGAGATGCTCTTTAACATGCATATTATTGACTCAATAGATTGTTACGGCTTCAGAGCTATTAGGGTCTGCTGTGTCAATGTGTACTTAGGGACTGTTTAATATGCAGATGGTTGACATGACAGACCGAAGCCATTACAGTCTATCATGTCAGGGGGGATATATGAATACACACTTTGCCAACACTGTAAAAAGTCCCTTTAAAATATAGTGGCTGTGCCTACCTAGCTGCTTTTTAAAATAATTTGATAAATTTGGTTATTCTAATACTCAAAGACCACAGAGGCTAGACTTATCAGCAATAAAATTTATTTCCAAATTAAGCCATTTTCCTTGTGGAATGTGCAGTCAGTAGGACAGGGTGTAATCTCAGCTATGCAGTTCCTATCAAATCTTGTAAAATTAGCTACTGCTCTTGTGCATGTATATAAGAGATCAGAATCTATCTGTCGTCATGTGTCTTTTTGAAGAATATAGTTTTGTCTTTTTGAGGGGTAAGGGAGAATGTCGTCTCTTTTTTCATTCAAATAATCTTCAGTAGCAATTAAATAGCTTATGCTACCTAAGAGATCAGTTATTACAAGATAAGCAGCATGACAGTTTGGAAAAACTGAATAAGTCTTTGATTATTTACTAAGTTTTGATATCTGCTATTTGCCTCAAAATGCTAAAAAGTGAAGTATAAGATACAAACATGAAAGGCTCATTTGATCATCATAAGGAAAGGAATCAGTAGTTTTGCTTTTCTTTTCCTCAACAACTTATTTTTTATTAAAATAGCAAAGCCAAGTGTTGTGTTTAATAAGATATACTTTTTTCATTTGAATATCAAATGGAAAAATACAATTAAAATATTTCTGCTTTTACATTACTTGTAGGCTACATTTCAGTGATGCATATATCTAAAAAGCTCAGCATACACATTTGGTATATATTAGATGCTTCTAACAGATGCCCAGACCTCTTCCCCTGATTTTGAATGATTCTTTTCATGGCGGAGATCCAGGGACATTTTAATGTGCAAGCCTGTAAACTTGGAAATAATACTTGTAGTGGGGCATTACATCTAGTCCCGTCCCTCTAAATTTTTTGTCCTCTGTCTCACCTAGCTCTGATTTCGAGCTGATTTGCTGGACTGAAAGGCATAACTCTAGCATGAAATTCATAGAGAAAAAAAACACTCTACCGTTCATATAATAGTAAACATGCAATACTTTGGAGACCTTCCCTCATATTTGTGGCACAGCTGGGATGCAAAGCCCACTGAGGAGAAAAGTGCATTATGTTGCAATGATTTCTTTTCTGATGCTTCCTTTTTACTGACTGATGCTAACAGGGAGACTGACATTTCTACCAGGCAGAAGGGAATGGGAGGCTCAAGTGAAGGGAGGTAGGAAGTATGGAACAACTTTTCCCACGACCCATCATATCCAGAAAAGACCATGAAGCGGTTATTTCTTAAAACAATTAATTCACCCTACACACTCCAGGAGGGGTCGCTTATTGATAGCTGAGCTATCTCCAGCCTGATGCTACTGTCACAAGGGGCGACCAAGCAGCAGGAGCCAGAGGCACAGGCAAACATATTGTAGCGTCATATGACGGGAATAGTAGTGGGAAAGGTGCGCTTTGCTTATGCCTGGCCCCAGGAAGGCAGATGCATTGCTCCTGTCGCCCGTTGGTGAAGCCCCTTGGCGGGAGCCTGCGCTCCGCATCCCTCCGGCTCCTCTTTCCCCCGGTAGGGGAAACCTGCATCCAACTCCACATCCCCATGTACACACACGCGTGGAAACATCAGCTGAAAATCACATGTGTGAGCTTGCGATGCAGAACGGTGTATTACCTGATGTGAAGCAACAACATGAAAAAGGGGCTTTTGACAGCCCTTGTAATTTTGACTGTTGCAGTGGTGTGCCATTTCTCTGAATGCAACACACTTTTGTGCCCCATTAAAGCATGGTTGGCATAGCTTTCAACTATTCACAAATGCTGAGATGTTGAAAAATGTAACATTTACAAAAGATACATCTGGTGTATATTTACAAGGCTCAGGAATCATTTAAATAATGCCTATGCCATCACCATATTAGGAGAAAAGTTACTCCCAGCCCCTATGTGAAATTAGTAGTCAAATGTGTGCTGGTTTAAGTTCCCCTGATATGATATGATATTTTTGCATATTAAACATGAACATGCTATACCATGTGTAACACCCAAATGAGATAATATAGAGTAAGGTATAGACCTGGATAGGACACGTATATTGATTGCTGTTATGCACCTGTTTCAATCTATTCGATCAAAAGATGATTATGAGTATTGAGGGATAAAAGCTTAAATTTTCAATTAAAGAAGAAACTTTAGTTTCTAATTGTAAGCAATCATAATTTGTTTCTCCTATTCTTCCATGAGAATTGTGAGAACTACCTAGGAATCAAGGAAAAAGACACTGAGCAGCTTACTTTACATCACACAAAATGTTGAGGAAAAAAAATCTCTTTCTGCCAGTGCTATATTACTTAAGATAGATTTGAAAACAATGTTTTAACCACACTAAACAGAAAATTCAAAGTAAACCAGATACTCTCTTTCTCAGTCACACAAACATGAACTAAGCATTAGCATCAGACTTAATTCCAGTTTCTGGGTCTGTAATTGAATCTAGGCTCAGTGTGAACTTTTTTTTTTGCACCATCACATTGATATCTGGATGTTAGTGACATTATTTAAAGCAACAAATCAACATATAGGACTGTTTTCAGCTATACTTTCTTTAAGTCATTTGACAGTAAATGGAATAAAAAAATGTTACTTTTCTCTAGGGACAGATATGTTAAAGAGTTTTCACCTTTTATCAAGCATTTTATCAGAATGTAACCAAAAAAATGCATAGTTTGTACAAATGCAGATTTTTGCATGCGTGGCTTGCCTGATTGCTAATTTGGATGAACACGCTCGTACTTAACATAGGCAAATGAAAGAGGAAAGATAATTTTTGCATATATCCTTTGAGTCAAGTGTGAGTCCCTGGACTCTAAGTGAAGCAGGTATCCACTTTCTGGGCTGAAGGCTGTCACTCCATATCGCCTGATACATCAGTCTTAGTTCATGCATGCCAATGAGGACAAATCCTAACAATGAGCTGTTGAGTGACGCCAACAGAAACGAACATTTCTGAAAGCTTCAGGATTTTGTAGAAAGCAGCTGAAGCTAACTATGTGGCACTCTTGCCACGGCTAGCTGACCAAAGCAGGATGAGATTTTGGCTAAACTCTGGACAATTTTGAACACACGTTTGTTTTGCAATGGGCTGAGTAAAGATGATATGGACCTATATAATTAACCCAAAAAAACCCTTTGAGGTATTTCCTCTGAGGAGTTCAGTACAGAATGGTGTATCCAAAATTATTAGTGTTCTTCATAGCTACTATTATTAATTCCTGTTTGTAAGCCTGTCCCTCCATCCAGGTAGTGATCATGTACTGGGATATCTACTGGTCAGGACAGAATATGACTTTGGAAGAGGGTGATTATCCAATTGATAGACTGTAAAGCTGGGCCCACCCATTGCCTTTTCATATTTTGCTTTGCTTCAGTTGCCTGGACTCTCACAGTTGCCTGGTGGCTTTTCTGATTGCTCATGTCAGCCAGACAGCTGGGCCTTCACACAGTCTGCCTGTCCACCGTGAGCCAGGTTTCAATCTTAGGTGTGAGGCATTGCTCTCTTGCTATCTGCTCACCGGAGAGCGGATTTTGCCTACACCTCCATTAAACTACTTTATTTTAACCAGCACAACTGCTTTCTCTCGTGAGTCCTCTCCACTCAAGTCATGAGGCATGTGAGGACAGTAAGTGCACGTTCCCAGGTGTGGCTAGGTGTGCGCTGCGCAGCGGAAATTGACTCCTGCCTGACATCTGCGGGCTGAACCTCCTCGCTCCAGTGCAATTTTTGCCATTGGCTACTGTGGCCGTCTTTATTCGAAGATATTTTCCGTACCCTGCGCAACTCCTGACCTTACTGTCGACTCCTTTCTTTTCTCAAACTTTATTTCTCAGTGGCATACAGACCTGCAAAAGAGAGCGTCTCAAACCGATAAACTCCATTTTATATTGATACATCTAGAAAATTACCCTAGGAGATTTCCCTTCTCATTGCTCAAAACTAGGAAAAAACGATTGGGGAATGGTTGAAATTTTATAAGCAAATTTTAAAGCAGGAATAGTAATATTTTTTTTTGCTGCCAAGATGTATAATAGGTGTTTTTGAGAGGTCGTTAACTTCAACAGTATAGTCAAAAACAGTGTTACACCCCACACTGCATCATTCGTTAAGCAATTAAGTTACTGATAGGCTTTTACATTTATTTACCTTGATGGAAAGATATGTTTACTCAACCTGAGTACAAATCAACGTGAGGAGGCGGAAGTTCAGAGTAAATTTGACTAATGATGTTGTGTTTTCATCCTTAAAAGAAAGAAAAAAAAGCCTTCTTGCTTTTGATGCTATTTTATCTTCATTGGAAGGGATCCGAAATGATCCCAACTGTCATGTGAGCACTCAGTTAGGCTCAGATCCTCTTTGATTGCATTCGAATGTCTCTCTCAGTTGGCTCCTATCTCCCTTATATGAATATAGCGTACAGCACTCTAGGTTGTTTATTAAACAGGGCTTTAACTCTTCCTTGGTGAATGTTCTCACGATTATATCTTTTAGCAAAATATGGGCTGCAGTCACCTTTGCCCAGGAAGACTTTAATGTAGACTCATTGTTGATGTGTAGGAAGAATTTCCTTTGAGCAGAACTCAGTTATTTTAGAATGACTTCTAAAATGCAAAGCTGACTGGTGCAAGTTATATTTTTCAGTGATTTCTAATTATTTCTTATTTTCTTTCAGACCCATTCTGTTCTCCAGTCTTGTTATATGGATTTCTGTCTCTCTGAGTAGTTCCTAAGCATCCCCTTGGATGACATCTACCACACGTGAGCATCTTCCACAGTCTCTAAGATGCTTTTGTTGTTTGTCTTTTTTAAACATTTATTTTTCGAGATGACATTGACAGACATGCGGCCTAAGTCTCTGTAGGTGGAGCTCACATTTATTTCAGTGTGTAGAGCAGCTTTAGGATCTGATCCATATTGAAGACTAGCAATGTGTAATGAGGCCTAGGCATATAAAACAATATGTATTATAACATAGCTCACTCAAAACAAATATGTTCCCTTCTCTTCAGCTGGTATAAACAAACAATCTCTATTGTGTTCAGTATGGCTAAGCTGTGCTGACTTATATAAGATGATCTTGGCTTCTCAGTTTTTGCAAATTTAGTTCATGAAACAGCATCGGTGTCCTGCAACGCAGATATTCTCACTGCATGCCCATATAATCCTATGAATTAAGATACTCATCCTGAGGCTGACATTAAGTCTGGAATTAAGTCATGATGTTTTATAGGTAGAACTTTTGATGCTACAGGTACAATTAAATTACATCTCATTTTTCAAGACTGAATCTTATGTTCCTTAATCTAACAAAACTGATATTGAATCCCACAAGTTTTAAGTAGTGAAAAAGCAAAGAATTAGTTTAATAATTGTTGCAACATACTCTCACACTGACCTGAAAAAAACCTTTTGCTGTGATATCTAAATTTTCTTTTGATAAAAATTGGCAGCAGCATGAAAAATTTGGGATGACTTGAGAGGGACAAATTAACAGGGACCAGTTCAAAACTCACGTGTGATATTCATTGCTTTTGTGAACTAAACCAAATTTGAACCCAGGTGTTCATTCTTCAACTGAAGTCAGATTTTATGCCATTCTACAAAACCTGTTATACTGTTCTGTAACTTATGCTGGAAGCAGAGTGAGCTGTTTTGGCGCTGAAATGATTTCATTGTTAGGCTAAGTGTTACACAGATGGCATTCTTAAATGTAAAATTCTTTTTATGATTCTTTCAATTTCATATTTATTTCATTAGATCATTATTTATGTTAAAGAGACACTATTAATATGAGGCGTGCTCAGCTTGAAAGAAAATGTTGAGAAGAGTTTCAGGTATCTGATCCTCTGTCCTTTAGTTTTTGTGTTTCACATTTTTCTATTTAAAATGTTTTTTGTGTCTCTAGGTGCTATGTGACAGATCCATACAAACAACAGAGGGGAAAGAGCCTCACTTTTAACTGATTAGAGGAGAGAAGCAGTGAAAGGGAATATGCACAAAGCGCTGCCAAGTTCACAGAGCAAAGGAAAAGATAAAAAATAGAATCATTTCACCAATCCTTTTTGTTTAGAATAATGTAAGGTATTTCTTATGATAGTGGCAGGGAAATAATTTTCAGACAAAAGTGTGATTTCTTAATCAAGGGTCTCTAATTCAAAAAGCATTTATTTAATAAACAGTGATTATGATAGCTGCAGCTACTCATTCATATCAATAATTCATTCAGAAGTAAACCATATCAACATATTAGCATTTATTTTTCCATTTAATAGGCTGTTATTTAAAATAAATGTAAATCGTCATAATCATTCAGCTCCATATGCTGGGAAAGGAAAAGTCACCTTAAACCAGATGCATATTGTGAAAAAAAAAGAGAAGACAAGTTGTTCTAAAGAAATGGCATATGGGGGCAGATCTTAAGCTGGTACAAAGATGCTCTGCTTTCTAGAAGTCAACATAACTATGCTATTTTACACAAGCTGAGGTCCTGGTTCATAATTTTTAAGAACTGGGTGTTTTAGAGGGCTTTCCATGGAGTCATATATTCATTTCATTCTTTAAAGAAATGAGATAAATCTGATTAAATCAGGAAAAGGCAATAAATGCAATCAAGAAAAATCCAATTTGAAGATTTTTATAAGTGGAAACAGTAGGCTATTTGCCTAAGTTGTATGTTGGCTCTGCATGTGTGTGTGTGCATGCACGTGTGAGCTCTATTTTATTTTTCCTGTCTCCACTTAGTGAGCCAAACCCTCTCCTAACTTGTACCCCTAACTACTTACTAATTTTGTCAGCTGGCAACCCTTTCTAATCTCCTTAACCTATTAGCACTCCCACAGCAAGCTCTGCTGAGGCTATTTCTTTCTGTCCCATATCTGAAGTCCACAGTCCATTGTTTGGAGGCTGTGGAGCAAGCTTCCACTTGTTAGAAAAAACTCTTTTTTGCTTCAGGCATAGGGAAAAAAGTGATAAAGGACTACAGCTACTGTCAACACTTGTTACTACTACTAGAGCATCTCAAGCACTTAGCGCACATCTAGTCTTACAGCGACAGCTCTTTTCTTTTGCTGTCAATAGGTGAGGCCAGAGATGGCGACTGGGCGCAACCCATTTGCACGAGATGGGGACGAGCCTGAAAAGCCTTTAGTGTTTCCCACAGGGTCTGTGATACCAGCCTCTCGCACAGCAACACCTCGGACGGGAACGGGGTGTCACTGCACTGCCCGTTCTGCCTGTGCACACAAACAAGTGCAGATGGCACACCCTTCAGGACTCGCGCCGGCAATAGGGCCCTCTTGTACTCAGATGAGCTAAGCAAAGCCCTTTTCCTCCCTGAAACAGAGTGCCCTGTGTTCTTGCTGGGAAAATAAGGCCACGCACCCCTTCTTCTCCTGGACTTGCCCAGCGATGCTTTCAGGGACCATCTCTGAGCAGCGGCTGCAGCATGACACGGACAAAGAGCAGCTATAGGGTGGCATTGGTAGCCCCCTAGCAGCAGTGCTGTGAGCACGGCATGGGTTACCCATTCAAATACAGCCTCTCAGGTGAGTTGTATAGCCCATCCAACATTGATCACGCAGCTACCAGTTGCCACGTTACTCTTTCACGGCACTCTATGCTGTGGTGCTACCACAGCAGTGACTGCCCTGTACATTTACCTTATGGGGACATACTGCCAGGGAGCAGCCAAGTTTAGCTGGTACCTGACTTTTGGTACTTCCAGTCTCTGCAATGCTTTATATTGTTATATTCCTTCAGGAGTTTTTTTAGGAGAAAGATGAGTTATGTTTACTTTTCACCACCCTAACAGAGAGGAGCAACGTGTTTTCCACAAGCATATTGCATTATTGCTCTTTACAGTGTGGCTGTGATTTAGTGCTGGATGAAGCTCAAAGGGAGGATTAGTCTAGATATACTCCCATATGCTTGGATGGACATCTGAACCTTGTCCATACCATCCTTACTGCTTTTGCTGGAAAAAGCTGGGCTATAAACATGATGAGTACAGGCGCAAGATGTTTAGTATTTCCTGCTTCCATTTGGGCCAGTAATACTGCAAATCCAGCCCTTTTTGGCCGTGTAGCTCTTGGGCATGGGCTTGACTGAAATTCAGAAAAATCACAGTGACAGAAGATGAATAGAGGAATAAAAGGAAGTTGATTTTTCTCAACTTTATTAAAGGTTAGATTAGGGTTTCATTCTAGCTTTAGCTGAAACTTTGCTGGAGGATGGGCAAAGACAGAATGTTTTTATTTTAATGGAATTGGTTCATCTATCTTTCAGGTGATTACATTTAAACATGAATCCATTTTTATGGTGCAGAGTGAAAGAGTCTGTGCTTTTTAAGAGCTATGCCTTCTGGGAAAATTAAAGCTGGCTATAAAACTGTTGCTTTATAGTATTCAAGCAAATCTGGAGTACAAGAAGAGAGAAAGAAGAAGGGAAGGAGAGAAAGAGGGAAAGA